CACTTGATCATGTTCCATGTGAATTGTTTGACTTGAAAATAAGAGTTTATATATATATATATCTTAAAAAAAAAAAAAATAATAATAATAATAATAATAAATATATATAATTGTATCTATGCCTGTCAGCAAATTTTTCTCACTATTAATCATTAATAAATGTGTTTTTCTATTTTTGTGAATATTTCATGAGTGCTACGGTTTTATTTTTATTTTTTATTGAATTATCCCTATTTATATGGGTCATGGGTACATGGGTTAATTCCTTATTTTTCCACTAAGTCCACTCCTTATTGTGCCATGTGTCACCATTCTGCTTTAAACTGCCAAGGAAATTTTATTCTCCTTAATTACACTCTCCCCAAGAAAAACGGACACCACTTCTTCACCTTCTCCACTTCAATTTTTTCTTTCTTTCTTCAGCAAAAAATTAGGGCTTATAAATTTAGTGTTTTCCTTCTCAAAAACTCACACTCAAAAATCAAAAGCACAGAGAAGCTATTTTCCTTTATCTACTGTATCATGGCATCCCCACCTAGAAATCCTCCTCCAGCCGCCGATGGTGATGTCCACAACGATGCTGCAGCACCTGTACCAGCAGACCCAAATCTGGCCATCATCGTTCATCCAATTAACTTTGAAGCTGTTCCAATCATCTACATTGAGCCCGGAGATGAGCTGAACCCGATTGACCCAGACAATTTTGATTTTGTGGGTCCCTCTTCCACCGCCGGAAGATTTCCAACGCGCCGGTCCAAGCGCACAAACCCTTTCCCAGATCTGAATACTGCGGTGCCACAACGCCGGAGAGGAGAAAACTCTCCCCGAAGAGGAAGCAGAGGTGGAAGAAGAGGAGGTAGAGGTGGCCGTACTCCTGTTAGGTCAAATCCACCAAGAGGTCTTCATTTGGTGGATGAAGAAACTGATGATGAAGAAGGAGACCCTACATTTGCTGCACCACAGGCTCAAGCCTTGTCCTCCAGTTCCTCTGAGTCATCATCCAACAACTCACTTTCCCCAGCATCAACTCAGGGGGAGACATCACAGCCCAGCATGGCAACAGCAGCCTCTCAACATTCTGTTCCTGAAGATGTTGCTGCACCTGTTTCTGAAGGTGTTGCTGCACTTGTTCCAGAAGATGCTGCTGCACCCACACCAGATGTTCCTCAGAATGCTTCTGAGGGTGCTGCTCCCTATCAGGATGAAGAAATGCCTGATTTTTCTGGGATGTCTTCTGCAGAGCATGTTGACATTCCCACTGTTGATGCTCAGGAGTTCACCACTACAGAAGAAACTCCATCAGCAACTCAGGGAGATCCTCTGGAAACCCTGGCAAAAGCAGCAGCTCAAGCAGATACAATTCCTCCTCAGACTGAAGAACAACCAG